TATTTAGCGTTTTATTTCGAAGGTATATTAGTAAGTACTTTTTTTCTATTTATACTTAGTTCTTTGTTTCTAAAATACATTAATATTGCAGTATTAAAAAAAACGTAATTTCGGACGTATAGTCCGCGGACTATCTGACGATTTTTGAAATTTTTTTTACGTAAAATCGTGTCTGTGGACTATACGCCTGAAATTACGGTACTACAAACACATGAAGAATCTCACAAAATGTAAACAACTGTCTTAAATATTGGCTGGAATACAACTTCTGATTTGAAACATGCATTCAAGACTTCCCTCTGTGTTTCTACAGACAAACCATTTACAAAGAGATGGATTACTCTGCTGCATTGCTAGTTTTTATGATCCCTTAGGCCTTTTTCCCGTTACTATTCTTGGGGGAAAATCTTATTCTAAGATACATGGATTCTTGGAATCAAGTGGGATGAATTACTACCTGCTAATTTATCAACTGTATGGTATGCAGCTGTGAAAGAACTTGATGACATTTGCTCCCTTCAAATTCCTCAATGCATAGGCATTTCATCACATGTTCCTTTTGCTATTCATGTCGTTTTGTGACGCGTCTGAACGTGACTATGGTTCAGTTCTGTATACTGTTACCTTTAAAGGTGACCAATCGAATGTGAATTTAGTGTGTAGTCGCAACAAACTAGCTCCAATAAAGAAAGTTACCTTACCTGGTTTGGAGCTCTTGACGGCCCTGATGGGCAACATTGTGGAGTGATACTCAAGTTGTCTTAGGGTGAATATGCAGTGACCCCAAAAAATGGAAAGCTTTTGTTAGCAACAGAGTAACAGAAATTATTTCCTATACCTAATCCTTCACAATGGAGACATTGCCCTGGCAAAGACAATACAGCTGACAAATCCTGGCTGACAATCCAGCTTTCTCGAGGTGTTTCACCATCAACACTAAAAAGCCTGGAAATTTGGTGGAACGGCCTTTCCATGGTTAGTCAAATCTCTCAGAATATTGGCCTCATTCTGATACGATTTTCTAAAGGTTACAGTCATAACTTAGAAGAAAGAAAAAGTTCAGACCCTTCACATCGTATCTACTCAAGCAATCATAAAGGCTGGAAACTACAGTTCTTACTTTCGATTGTTACGTGTAACATCTTGAATTCTTCGCTTTATTCACAACTGCAAGGAAACAAGAAAAGTTAGTGGGTGAGTTACATGCCACAGAACTGAATCAAGCTGGTATTTATTGGATACAGACCGTTCAGAAAGAATCCTTTCTTTCAGAATGTGAAGCTCTGTTGACAGGAAAATCACTCCCTAAGAAATCAAGGATAAAACCAATTTAACCCTTTTTTCAAGAACAATATTATACTTCTTGGTGGTCGACTACAATTTTCTGATTTATCTCATGCTGAAACACATCCCATATTATTGGAAGGTTCTCATCATTTTACAAGCCTACTCATACACCAAACACATTTACTATTGCATCATCTCGGTGTTCGGATTGTACTTTCTCAGCTTCGTTCAGAATATTGGATATTAAGAGCAAGACAAGCCATTAAAAAGGAGATAAAGCCTTCCATGTAAAGTACTGAAACAAAAGAGAAGTGAACAGATAGAAGCTCCATTACCAGCTGAGCGAATTCAAAAGTCATCTCCTTTCGAAACTACCGGAATTGATTTTGCTGGACCACTCTACGTAAAAAATAATAACTCTGTTACAAAAGCTTACATTGTCATCTTCACATGTGCTACAACTCGAGCTATCTACTTAGAATTAGTTTCCGATCTGCGTACTCATGTCTTCCTACTTGCATTACAATGTTTTGTCTCTAGGCGTTCACTTCCTCATACCGTGTACGCTGATAATGCCACAACTTTCTGCGCTGCGGGCAAAGGGCTGAAATTATTGTGGGATACTATATCCTCTGTCAAGGCACAATATTTTTATGCCCACCACAACATCAAATGGAAATTCATTGCCCCACGAGCGGTTTGGTGGGGAGGATGGTGGGAAAGAATGATAGGCTCAATTAAGCGATGCTTTCGGAAAACATTAGGTAATGCTCTTTTGGATGACGCTTGTTTGATCACTGTATTATGTGATATTTAACCGCTCTTAACAGTAGATCAATTGTCCATGAATGCGGAATAAAAGATGATTCTGAGGAAGCTTTAACTCCCTCTCACTTCCTTGTAGGAAAGAAATTAACTACTATACCTTCCAGCCCCACAAATCCTGATACAAATTTAAATCGTATGTGGAAGAATAGTCAACATGTGATGGACTCCTTTTGGAAAAGATGGCAAAAGGAATATTTGATGGACTAGCGTACATTTCATTAAGTGCGCAATCCATCTGAAACAAATAAAATACGGAAAGGAGACATTGTCCTACTACAAAAAGATGTTAGACCTCGCCACACCTGGAAAAAGTTCCCTGTTGAGGAGTCCATACTTGTGTTCTGTGCACCAATGGACATACCATTACCCGACCTGTGCAGCTGGTCATCTCCCTGGAGGTTGTCCTATAGTCATTTTGTGTTTATGTTAGGAAATAAATAAGTCTAAAATACCGTTTTCTAATAGTTTCCCATTTGTATTTCATCCCAAAATATTTATAAATTATTTTAAATTTAGTAAAGCTTTTATGCAATTTCTATTTTTAATTATAGCAAAGTATATTTACTTTATATTTAAACCACACAAAATAATTTATAAAATTACAGTATGTGTGTTGAGCTCAGAGAAAAATGTCTGGAAATAAAAGACATTTTCACTGGGCAGGTGTATGTATTGTTTAGTAATAAAATAACTCTGTGGTTTCAAAGCCCCTTATCTATAGCCGGGTAAAAATAAACATTCCTATTGGAAAGCAGCGAATGGCATTGGGAAGAGCAGTGGTTGTGCTCTGAAACCACAAAGCAAATGCCATAAATATACACAGCTTCTTTATATATGCAGTTTAATTATTGCTATATTTTTATTGTTTATGATAGAAATATGATGTGCGATGAATTACTTTTGAAATTTAAAGTTGTTTATATTAATAAAAGGAAGTTATTTTGCCTCATTGAAAATGAATTTTAAAAGCCATTTGATTTGAATTACTGAGACCTAAAAAATGTATGGTTCTACAGTCATTTTGTGTTATTTAGAGTTAAAGGATAAGTAATCAATCGGTTTTCACTCAACATTTTTGGAAAGGGGGGAAAAAATTCGGAAATTGGTGGTTTCAGGGCACGACTGCGCAAAGGAAATCTTTTTTGGGATTTGTCTAATTATTGAGAATTTTGATTTCAGTATAGTGGATTCTTATTTCACATTTAGTAATTAATTCTCTAAGTTGCTGTTAACATGTTTAAATAGTGCTTGATTTGTTACTTGCAGTTAAATTTTATTTAAATAGTATTTAAAGTTTTGTGATTTATTTAGTAATATTGATTTATTACAGATTTGGTTTTTGTGAACTTGAGTTCACGAGTAAGGAATGTTGAAAAGAGGGAATTTAAATGGTGCTACTTTTACAGTAAAATGAATGTTTTGGTTTACAGTCTGTATGTTGGTAAGGCAGTTACATAAATTAACTTTGCTGCAGTTTATTATAACATGTAATGTTGGTGAAGTTTGAATCATCTTATAATAGGGCTATGTAAATGTAAAAGGATAATAAAAGTAAATGGAAAGAAACTGACTGTTGCTGTGTTTGTAGGGTGTGCTGCCTGTTGTTGCCAACCTCTTACATCTATGATAATACATGTGCTGTTATTTGAAGGTCTGTTAATACAATTCTTATTTGGTATAGTTTATTTTTAGGCATGTGACCTAGACTACAGGTACTTCTGTGGTGTTTCATTGGAAAATATGTGACAGGGAGAAAATTGTATTTATATTACATTACTATTCATTAGATTTCAGTTCGAGTATAAAATCCAGATCATTCCACTTGTTATTAACATACATACACAGTTTATTTTCATATAATTGTGCTTTACAACCATAATTATTGGACATGTGCCTTCTAGAAATATCAGAAAATTTACTAAGGAATGTTTTTATTGTCATTGTTGCTTCAAAAGAAGATGGAAAGTTGATTTCATAATTTATGAAAATATCATGATCTTATTTTTTTTTTTTTTTTTTAAATGTGGATATTGGAAGTTTGAAATGAGGGACATGCAATGCTTATTGAAAAAAAGAATCAAGCAGCTCACCTCTCCCCAGGTGTACCAAAAATTGATGAGAGGTTTGAATTCTTTGTCGCTGCATGTAATAGGGAAAACAGAATTCTGAGATTATTATGGCATTTGATAAGTGAAGGTATATGTACAAAAACCCAACAAAAAAAAAAAAAAAAAAAAAAAAAAAATTATTTTCAACGTTAGGTTTATTTTTTTATTTATTTTTTTTTTTTTAAATTCTAAATTGAAGTTTAAAATACATGATGCATATCTTCATTATTTGAACTTGGTGCAAGTATCAGCTCAGAGCCTGTTAGTTTCTTTGCTATACAATATGCATTCATACAGACAAACTCTGTTTCAGCTATTTCACTGCAAAGAGTCGATAAAATCACCAAATACTCTTAGTTCGACCCAGATTCAAATCCTGACTAACAGGCATGCTGTATCAGAGTTTTCATTGTTTTCATCATGTGTAACATGAACCAACTCTTTTAAATAATTCTCCGTGAAGCCATGAAGCCTCCATCTATCGTTTCTGTTAGCCAGATAACCCTTATTTACTTTGTTGTAATTGACATAGTCCAAAACCAAATGTTTTATTGTTATAGATGAAGGCTGTTTCCATGTCTAGCTGTTGGCTAATTTTCAGACAAAAGAACTAATAATATATGGGAATGAATTGTTTTTGCTTTTTCATTACTTTATAGTTTTTCTGTTTTATGTGCATTTGCAATCAAAACTTTCATTATTGCATAAAATGTGAAACTAAACTTCATGAAATATATAACTTGCCTCTTTTTTCTCCATTATTATTTTTATATCTGTAGAAGGTTTGATGCAGCTGCTTCAAGAAATGGGAAAAGCGCAATTATACTTGGGTCACTATTGTTGTCGGAAAGCAATTGAAGTCTTAAATAGTCTTCCTCCTCAACATTATGAAACAGGTTGGGTATTAACTACTCTTGGAAAAGCACATTTTGAATTAGCTGAATATAGTCAAGTAAGTGTAAAATTTTCTGTTAAATTTTTGAAGTATTATTTTTAAAATGTCTTAATAGTTGCTTATAATTTTGGATTTGAATGGGAATTGTAATTATATATTTAATTGCCTCTTCATGCTTCTTGTATTATAATTCTGTTTTAATACTAATGCTGTCTAATACTGTTCTAATACTAATACTGTCTGTTACTAATTTTAAATAATGTTTACTTTTCAGTCAGTTTTTTATAGTGTTGTGAGCATTTACTAACCACATTTTTTATTTTGTTATTAAATGCTTTATTTGTGTTGGCATCATATGGCTTAACACAAACATTGGTGTTCAGAATTGAAGAGTATTTTAAAAATACTGCTAATTGTGCATGCATTGATTAAAATTCCACTGAGTGTAATTTTTTATCATAATTTAATCAGCATGAAAACTTACTGATGCACAAATGTTTATTCACAGAATTCCAAATAAGGTGAACACATGGTTCTTATATCTTGATCTTATATCTTGGTTAAACATAAATCTCTTATATCTTGGTTAAACATAAAACTGTAACTTTGAAAGTGGTCAGTTTTTAATCATGTTGGGAAGACATCTAGGTTGTTGTAGCGCTGAAAGCGGCTATGTGCATGTTGTTATCCTAGATGCTGCTATGAGATGAATGCTAATAAAACAATATTTTATTTACAAAATAATAATATCCGCAGAAGAACGTGTACGTGTGCATGCACCAGCAGCTTGTCCACTGACATAGCAGTGGGGAAGGAGAGTGTGGAAGAGTGACTGCAGCGCTACTCAGAAGTTCAGAATTCCCCCCAGTGACGAAGGGAACGGCATAGATACATATACTACTTAAATACTTAAATAGATGATACAAAATGACAAAATTATATGCAAAATTTAAAACAGATTCTCAATTATTTATGAAGTACATGTTAAAAGAATGACAAATAAAAGACTGAATATGCAATTAAAAAATATAATGATGAAGATAATATTCTTATATACAGTAATTAATTGGCACAAGTTTAGATTTCACTGAGTAGTCTTTTTGGAAAATGAACATGTCCGCCTGATTTTGTTGTTTTGGTATCTGCAAATGGAGTAGCAGAGATTGGTTTGTCTACTTTCTGTTGGTTGCTTGGAAATTCAATGGATTGTTTAGTGTTTGAAGATAATTTAGACAAATCCAAATTTTCCGAAAATTGAAAGACAGCTTTGAGTCTATCTATTGTTACGATAGTTGATTTCCCATTTACATCTCTTATAAATGTTTTGTCTGTTTGCTTTATTACTGGGTGTGGTCCAGAATGTGGAGGTTTGAGTGAAGGGCGAATTTTATTGATTTGTAAGAATACATGTGTGCATGTTTTTAATGATGGATTGACATAAGTTTTGATATTGCCATGACCGCTAGAAATAGTGGGATTAAGTTTTCTCATTATTGCAATTAAATTAGACACATGAGTAGTGGTAATCGTAAAGAAGTGCTGTATACTAGTTGAGAGCTTGTTGCATTTAGAACATTTTTTAGGGCTGTGTGTAATCCTAATACCAATGGTAGTATTTCTGTCCATTTAGTATGTTCATGAGCTGTAAGTGCACTTTTGAGGTGTCTCTGTAATTGTTCTATCGTTCCATTGCTTTGAGGGCGATATAAAGTTGAATGAATTCTGTGACTGTCTAGCATGTTTGTAAGTTCTCGAAACAATGATGATTGAAAATTTCATCCTTGATCTGTTGTAATTGTGACTGGCGTTCCAAATCTAGAGATCCAACCATGCAAAAGGGTATGTGCAGTGTTCTCAGCAGACATATCTGACGTAGCAATAACCTCAGGCCATCGGGTGAATCTATCGATAATAGTCAAGCAATATTGATTGCCGTCCAAGGGTTTTAGAGGTCTAATAAAGTCTTAAGTGTGTGTGAGAAAAACACCTGTTTGGTAGAGCAAATGTGCTAATCAGAGCTTTAGTATGTTTAAAGACCTTAGCTCACTGACATTTGGCGCAACTTCAAACTTTCATTTTAATGTTTTTTCTCATACCAGGCCAAATGAATCTCTTGGAAATTAAATCAGTGGTAGCTGAAATTCAAGGATGCCAAAGATAATGCAAATTTTAGAAAACTATTTGTCTAAAAGATTTGGGAATGAAAGGATGGGGATGTTGGGTTGATTGGTCACAAAACAGGTATATATCTTCAAGTGGAAAATAATATATTTCTAACTTTAGTGCTGAATTTGACTGAAGAAGTTGTTGCACTTCAGCATCGTGAAGTTGCTGTTCAGCGAGTTTTTTATAATCAGTGGTAGGCGGTGGCGAAATATCATTGATCTCTATCCTAGATAATGTATCAGCAATATTGTTTTGTTTGCCATTTACATGACAAATATCCGTCGAAAATTGAGATATATAATCCAAATGTCTGATTTGACGAGGGGAACATTTATCAGGCTTTTGTTGGAAAGCGTATATCAATGGTTTCTGATCTGCATAGATAGAAATATTTTTACCTTCAAGCATGTATTGAAATTTTTTTATTGATGTATAATATAAATAGCTAATAGCTCACGATCGTACGTTGCCAATTTTGCTGAGTTTTACTAAGTTTTATAAACAAGAATGCTATTGGTTCCCAATTGTTATGTGAAAACTGCATAAGAGAGCTGCTGATTGCTATGTCTGATGAGTCTGTCCACAGGCTCAATTTAGCACTAGGAATTGTATATCTAAGTAGGGTTGCTTCAGCAAGTGCATGTTTTGCTGCTGAAAATGCTGCTTCAGCTTTCTTGGTCCATTCAAGTGAATTTTCGATTTTTTAGATGGGCGAGTAGATTTCTTTTTGTTTGTATGGCCTTCTAAAAATTATGCTAGTGGGGCTAAAATGTGAGCAGCTTTTGGAATAAACCTATGGTAAAAATTTTACATACCAAGAAATCTGCAAAGCTGAGTTATCATGTTTGGTCTAGGAAAATGGTGTATTCCTTTAACCAGTGCTGTGGAGATGGAATCGGAGTCGGGCAGATTTTGGGATAAAAGGAGTTGGAGCTGGAGTTGCTATAAACAGCTTGACTTCAACTCCAGTTTTCGTTGGATAGTTTCAATTTAAAACGAAATTAAAATGAATTGAAAAAAATTAATGTCACAATGCATTAATAAATAGTTATTTTCTATTTTGTTGATGTATTAATAAATAAATATAAGTGAGGAGGATGGATGTGATATTTGCCATTAGTGATTAAACCAATTCATTTAGTTACAGATCTCACTGATAAATTTAGGTAAGCAGCAATAGCAACAAGAACTCCTAAAATTGATGCCATTCTTAGGAAGCAAGCAGGAAAAGGAGCAATTATTGATCAAGCAGTGCAATAAGGAAGTATATATTTAATGATAAAGAGGTTTTTAGAATTAAGAACTTTTTTAGGAGATGTAGATAACCCTAATGTTTCACTAACAGAAAGACTGTGGAATGATCTTGCAGAATTGGAAACTCTTTTTTCTATACCATATATAGCCGCAAAAAAGTAGCAATCTGAAGAAATGACATTAGGCGAGAATGGAAGAATGCGATGTTTGTTCTTTCTGAAATGGAGGGTTTATTGCAGAAGGAATCATTTCTTCAATGAAAAAAAGAGAAACTAGTTTGCTAGACAATGAGATCTTACTGGGTTCAATATTTGGAGATCCGAAACACCGAATTTTCTTGGATAACGAACAAATTAAAAAGGCAAAGAAAGTTATCTATGAACTTTAAGAATGAAATTATTCTCAGAACAATTGGAGAATTCGAATCAGGACAGTCAAACTGCAAGCATTGCAATTGAGTCTCTATCATCCTTTTTCATCGATGAATTAGATTTTGAGAAATATTTTTGGATAATATTGAAAAGGCTAAGGCAAAGCGAATGAAAATAAAAAAAACAAGTGTGTTTAGATATAAAAATGAAAAATACAAACAAGATTTCTACACGGCCTTTGAAGAAATGGAGAAATATGATTGCGCTTGCAAGACAGCTCTTCTAGAACTTGTAAAAATCTATCCTGAAAAGTTAAAAGAAGTAGCCCTAAAAATAACAGCTCTTCCTCCTACTCAAGTTAATGTGGAAAGATTCTTCTCAGCTCTGAAGTTTATCAAATTGGATCTGTGGCCCTCCAACAAAGAAAATCTTGCCGAAGCTATACTGTTTCTTAGAAATAACTAATGCCAGTTTTTCCATTTCATAATAAATGCTAATTAATATAAATAATTTGCTATGCCATCATTTTTTTTTCCTGTAGCATCTATTACTTCTTTTATATTAAAAAAATAAGCTGTAACCCATGTGTATATGTTTACATATATATATATATTTGAGAGAGTTGGAGTCATTAAAATTCCAGGAGTCTGTCATTTTCCCTACCGACTCCACAGCCCTTCAACTCGATTGCGTAAGGGTGAAAGTCCCTTTTCGGAAACTCGAAAACCTAGAAAATGTAAGGAGGATGCTCCTAAAGTGCATTTAGAGGGTTTTAGTGAGAGAATATAATGAGTAAGATGTTCAAATAATACTCATAAATGATGAATGTGCTCCTCATGAATTTTAGATGCAATCACTATGTCATCAATGAAGACATGAACACCATCTAAATCTCTAGTAACTTCATCAATGAATCGTTAAAATGTGCTAGAAGCATTGCGTAGGCCAAATTGCATTCAAGTACTTTCGAAGAGTCCGAAAGGGGTACTAATGGCTGTTTTATAGATATCTTCTGGTGCAATAGGAATCTGGTGAAAAGACTACTAAGTTTATGTGAGAAAATATTTTAGTAAGTCAACAATACTGCGAGAATAGGGTACTGATCTTTTACAGTCTGGGAGTTTGAGGTGCGATAATCGTCAACAGGACGCCAGTCACCACTTTCCTTTTTAGGAACCATGTGAAGCGGTGAGGAATAGTTTCTGTTCAATGAGCACATATGACCTAAATCAAGCATATATTGAATTTCTGTTTTTGCTATTTTTA